GTGATGCTTGCAATAATAACAGTTGCCTCAATATATATCTGCAATAATTGATGCATTAAAATGAATATCATGATGCACATTAATTACTTGTGATTAACTAATAATTGATGTTCCTTAATTCATGCTAATTAATACTACTACAGTACATCATTAATTATAGTATTTCAAGAAACATGATAATTTTTTAAATTAAAGCTCTGTTGTTGTGCATTGCATTTATGAACAGGAGAGAATTCATGTTGGAATTTCTGGATGAGTATTGCAAGGAATACTCTCTCGAGTACGATTTTCTGTATCTACCAATGGATTTTAGGTAATAATTTTTTCTATTTTTTTAAAATTTAATTAATAATTTATTTAAATACAACATTTGTAATATTTGTGTGTTTTTTTTTTTATTACAAAAAATAAACATATAGGAGGAAAGATAACTTAGGTTATGCATTTGTGAACCTGACCTCTGCTGCTGCTGCAAAGAAATTCAAGAGGATTCTTCATAACTTTAAGTGGGAATCGATTTCGAAAAACGGCGAATTAATTACCTCCAAAAAAATTTGTGAGGTCACTTGGGCTAAAATTCAGGTAACTATTTAAGTCTTGCTTCGATATCGTAGTTTCTGTTCTATATGTTCGAATATATAGTTGATCGAGCTTTATATATTTTTATTTCGAAAAAAAAACAGGGAAAAGAAGCACTAATTAAGAGATTCGAGAATTCGATATTCAGTTGCGATAATATGGACTTCTTGCCGGTGGTTCTTGATCCACCCCGTAACGGGTGGGGCAGTAACCGAGCTCCGCCAGTGGTTCTTGGCACTGTTCACAGGGCGCGATCCATTAGCAAGTTTCGCTAAAGATCGATATCGTTCTCACCGACAGTGTGTGTTATTTTGCGTAGGTTGTTTAATTTGTTGTATTTTGGAAGAACATGTTTTAGTGAATTTTGTAACTGTGTTTTCATTATCTCCCCCTAGCTAAAGTCTATTTTGTGTTCCAAAATGAAAAGCTGGGGTGAAATGGAAACATAGTTTTATCTTTGTTTTATGTACTAATCCCACTCTTTTGTTTAAGGAATCTTTTTCTTTATGATTAATTTGTCTTTAATTATTTGGATTGGGCTTTTTAATTATTTCTTAGGCCCAACATAAAAAAGCCCAAAATATCTTAAAATCCACAAAGAATGGGGGCAAAGAATGCAAGCAGCCCGATTAAATTCATAAGCTGTGGCCCAAAATTAAGTTAATCACCACATTTTGAAATTCAGAGAGCTCAGTCGAGCTTTGTGGCATTTGAAACCAACCGGCGTTAACGAAAAACAACGAAATGGGAGAAACTCGACCGTAACCAATCAATCAATTATATGTTTATTAGTTTTCGTTACTTTCTTTATTGCTTAAATCATATGATTATTCGTGACAAATGACAATACTTTATACACAAGATTACCGTATTCGATCCTATATTACGACTTCTATGGCACATTTTTGTCTTACGATAACTCGTCAAATTAGAAGGCCATCAACGCACTAACTAATCATCCACTAATATCTTTCTTATAGGACAAAACATTAGCTAATACAAAAGGAATTAATCCAAGAAGAACGCTGATCATTTCTTCAAGACAAATACGAATGCAATATCGGTAACTAGAAAATCGAATAGAATTCCGTGTCTAAAAAGTAGTTGCTTTCGATTACAAAAAAAAAAAAATCAGATTCAAAGCTCTAATACGGCATTTTACAAATTACAGAGAAAGAAAAACAAACCGAGTGTCTCACTTCTTCTTCTTGCCAGGAATGGCGACCCTCTTACCCTTCAAAGTCCTGCAATTGTTCTTAGTCCTCTGCCCTCTGCACGGCAATCCCTGAATGTGTCGAACTCCTCGGTAGCATTGTATCTCCTTCAGCCTTCTTATCGCAAGTCCGTTAAACCTCCTCTACAACCAATTAAAAAACGAACAAATTCAGTTTCCGATTAATCAGAATTCACCAATATTTCACGGAGATAGTGTTCAAAACGAATAACCGCAAACGTGGAGATACACGCAAAACCTGGATATATTTGCAATCGAGAAATCCAAAGGAACAAAAAAAACGAACAAATTCAATTTCCGCAGAATCTATAATTCGCTAAATAACAACGATAACCGTTCAAAATGAATAGCTACAAAAACCGGAGATACACTCAAACCCTAGATATACTTGCAGATGGAACAACAAGATATGCGGTCGAGAAATCCAAAAGGAACGAAAAACGAACAAATTCGATTTCCGCGGAATCAAAAATCACTAAATAACAACGATAACTGTTCAAATTGAGTAACTACAAAAAAACGGAGATACACTCAAACCCTGGATATACTTAGATATGAACCAAACAGTATAATTCATATACCTCATTAACAACATAAATCATTTCATTAAACTTACTGTAGAAAATGTTTACTTAGCAATAAATAAAACACATAGAATTTAGGATTAAAGGAAAAGAAAAAATTGGAGTAAAAAACACATACGAGATCTCCTTCAATTTTGTACTTAGAAACTTCGTCACGAAGAATGGTGAGCTCCTCCTCGGAGAAGTCTTTGGTTATCTTATTCTCGAAGCTGAGATCGTTCAATATCTGGCGAGCGGCGGTGCGCCCAATTCCGTGAATGTACTGCAGAGAATACTCCACGCGCTTGTTGTTGGGTATCTCAACACCACCCACACGCGCGCATTTGATACTCAGCCCACCAATCTTAAACAACATTTCATAAATCAAAATTAAAATTATTCAAATTAAAGGAACATACATTCGTGTTAGAAAACCTCGGTGAAAAAAAAAATTGATTTGAATGAAATAATTAAACTTTTTTTTTTTTAATTTTTACCTTGGGGAGAGAGGTGGAGAGGGGGAAGAAGATGGAGTTTTTGGGGGAGAGAGAGATGGAATTGGAGATTAGAGAGAGTGATGGGAGGACTGGAGTAGCTAATGCTTGCGCCATTGTTGATGAATTCTGCAAGCTTCGATTGAATTTTGTGGAAGATAGAGAAATTATGAAGAAATGAGGAATGGGGATTTGCTACGTTCTTTTCTTATCCTTGGGGATTTTTTTTTATCTTTTTTTTTTTAATTTAATAAATAAATAATAATAATAATTCCAGCAAGTAATTCTAAGTTGGGCTCTAACATTCTGAAAATTGGATCCGATTCCAATTTGGGCCAGGTTTCGGCTGGGTCATATTTAATTTAAATTAGTGACCGTCCTCGTTAATTAATTTTTAATTAATTAAAAAATAATTATGATTTTGATCGTGATATATTTTTTTAACATTCCTCCAATTTTACCTAAAATATGTGTATTATATAGTGTACAGTTCTTGGTGATTTTGATTATGAAATAGTTTTTTGGACGTTCTTCCAATTTTATCCAAAATCTGTGTACTATAGTGTACGGTTTTTAGTGATTTTGATTGTGAAATAGTTTCTTGGATGTTCCACCAATCTGTGTATTATAGTATACATATTTTGGTGATTATGACCGTGAAATAATTTTTTGGACGTTCCACCAATTTTAACTAAAATTTGTGTACTATATAGTATACAGGTTTTGGTGATTTTGATCGTAAAATAAATTTTTTGGATGTTGTTTTAGCTGATTTAGATCGTGAAAAAGTTTTTTTGACGTTTCATCAATTTTACCCAAATATGTGTACTATATAGCATACTTTTTTGTTGATTTTGATCGCGAAAAAGTTTTAGGGACGTTCCACCAATTTTGCCCAAATTTTGTGTACTATGGTATACAGTTTTTGGTGATTTTGACCGTGAAATAGTTTTTTGGACGTTCCACAAATTCTACCCAAAATTTGTTTACTATAGTATACAGTTTTTTTGTGATTTTGATCGTGAAATACTTTTATGGACGTTCCACCAATTTTACCCAAAATTTGCGTACTATAGTAAACAGTTTTCATTGATTTTGATCGTGAATTTTTTTTTCTGGGATGTTCCACCAATCTTACCCAAATTTGTGTACTTATAGCATATAATTTTTGGTGATTTTGATCGTGAAAAAGTTTTTTGGACGTTTCACCACTTCTACCTAAAATTTGTGTACTACCCATACAGTTTTTGGTGATTTTTTATCGTGAAATAGGTTTTTGGACGTTCCACCAATTTTACCCAAAACATGTGTACTATAGTGTACTATTTTTGGTTATTTTGATCGCGAAAAAGTTTTTTTGGACGTTCCATCAATTTTACCCGAAATCTATGTATTATAGTGTGCAATTTTTGGTGATTTTGATCCTGGAAAAGTTTTTTGGACGTTCCACCAATTTTAACCAAGATCTGTATACTATAGTGTACAGTTTTTGGTGATTTTGATCGTGAAATAGTTTTTTTTGACGTTGCACCATTTTAACTAAAATCTATGTACTATAGTATACAGTTTTTGATGATTTTGATCGCGAAAAAGTTTTTTGGACGTTCCGTCAAATTTTACCAGAAATCTAGGTACTATATTATACGGTTTTTATTGATTTTGATCGTGAAGTTTTGTTTTGGACGTTTCACCAATTTTACCCAAAATCTGAGTACTATAGTATACAGTCTATGTTCACCAACTTTATCCAAAATCTGTGTAATATAGTATATAGTTTTGTGATTTTAATCGTGAAATAGTTTTTTGGATGTTCTACCAATTTTACCGAAAATTTGTGTACTATAGTAAACAGTTTTAGGTGATTTTGATCGTAAAAAAGTTTTTCGGATGTTCAACTAATTTTATCCAAAAACTGTGTATTATATTTGATGATTTTAATCGTGATTTTTTTTTTTTGACGTCCCACCAATTTTACCCGAAATCTATGTACTATAGCTTACGATTTTTGGTGATTTTAATATTTAAATAGTTTTTTGGACGTTCGACCAATTTTACCCAAAATTTGTATACTATAGTATACAGTTTTTGGTCATTTTGATCGTGAAAAACTTTTTTGGACGTTCCACCAATTTTACCCAAAATATATGTACTATAGCGTACAATTTTAGGTGATTTTGAACGTGATTTTTTTTTACGATGTTCCACCAATTTTAGGTGATTTTGATCGTGAAGTTTTTTTTTGACATTTCACCAATTTTACCTGAAATCTGTGTACTATAGCTTACGGTTTTTGGTAATTTTGATCGTTAAATAGTTTTATGGACGTTCGACCAATTTTACCCAAAATATGTGTACTATAGTATACAGTTTTTGGTCATTTTGATCGTGAAAAACTTTTTTGGACGTTCCACCAATTTTACCCAAAATATGTGTACTAGAGCGTACAATTGTAAGTGATTTTGAACGTGAAAAAGTTTTTTACGACGTTCTACCAATTTTATCCAAAATCTGTGTACTATTGCATACAGTTTTGGTGATATTGATTGTGAAATAGTTTTTTGGACGTTTCACTAATTTTACCTAAACTTTGTGTACTATACTGTACAAATTTTGGTTATTTTGATCGTGAATTTTTTTTGGGACGTTTCACCAATTTTACCCAAAATTTGTACACAAATATGTGCACTATATATAACATACAATTTTTTGTGATTTTGATCGTGAAAAGATTTTTTGAACATTCCACCAATTTTACCCAAAATTTGTGTACAGTTTTTGGTGATTTTGATCGTGAAATAGTTTTTTGGACGTTCTACTAATTTCACCAAAATTTGTGTACTATAGTCTACAATTTTTGGTGATTTTTATCGTGAAAAAGTTTTTTGGACGTTCCACCAATTTTACCCAAAATCAGTGTACTATAGTTTACAATTTTTGGTGATTTTTGATTGTGAAATAGTTTTTTGGACGTTCCACCAATTTTATCCCAGATTTGTGTATAGTATACAGTTTTTTGTGATTTTGATTGTGAACCGAACACACACTTAAAAAATATACACACACTACACTGAAAACACACACTAAAAACGCACACACACTACACAAAAAATACACACTAAAAAAAATACACACAACATCGAAAACACGCACTAGAAAAAATTACACACACTACACCAAAACACACACTAAAAAAATATACACACACTACAACAAAAACACACACTAAAAAAACATACACACTACACTGTGCAAACACACAATAAAAAGAATTGCAGACACTACACCGAAAACACACAATAAAAAGAATTGCAGACACTACACCGAAAACACACACTAATAAATATACACACACTACACCGAAAACACACACTAATAAATATACACACATTACACCGAAAACACACACTAAAAAAATTAAACACATTACACCGAAAACACATACTTAAAAAAATATACACACAACACACACACTACACCGAAAACACACACTAAAATAAAATACACACACTACACCGAAAACACACACTACACCTATAAACAACCGGATGCAGCAAGCAAAGTTCTTCTTCAGCCTGTCAAGATTCTTGTTCGCCGCATGGTTAAACGGAACAGAGCTGTGGCCACACAACTTTTGGTCCGTTGGTCTCGTTTGCCCGATGAAGAGGCCACCTGGGAGGACTATGATCAGTATTGCCACCACCTTCCCGTTCTCACTTTCACACACAAGCACTTCCCACGCACATCCATCCCTTCGGGTTGATCGGTCGAGTACTTTGGAGCATCGCCAGTTCGTTCCATCACCAGAGCGGCGATAAGTAGACTATGGCGTAACATTCTACGCCAAAAATACAAAATATAAACATACATACATTAACTAGTAAAACTCTGAGTAAATCAAAAATCGCAAGCATGGAAAATCGGGAGGAACGATAATCAGAAAATGTTTCGACAAAACGGAAACTTAAAAAGTCAAAAGTCAAAACCATACCAAACACAAAACCTGTGCGGCTGGTCGCTTAAATAAAACACGGTCTTAAAGTATCCATGTCGGAATTTAAGAGTCGATAAATATTCTAAGGCAATACACATACAGGTTCTGGATGAGCCAGTATGTACAAGAAATCGATTACAAGTTCACATACAACACTGCTACTTTAAAGAATCCCATAAAAAAAAAAAAAAAAAAAAAAAAAAAAAATTGTCCCATAAATAAAAATTAATTCTTTCACATAAACTGATATGCAGGGTTGAATGCAAGAGCCTCCCTGTAAATCAGTTCCTTCATCTGCTCCTCAGTCAATGCATGCTGTTCGAAGTCAAAGTTAAATGGGGTGGTGCAAACAGGCTCGTCGCTGATGTCGTGGAGCGAGTTCAGGTATGGATGGGCCAGCGCACCTTCAACTGATTAACCAAAAGTTTGACAGAAAGGGAATGAATATTAATCTATTGTGTATTTGTGTCACATCACAAATTTCTCTAATTTCAGAAGTCGAAATCTAATTCAACTCCTTCCAAAAAAAATCAGAAAAAAGGAATTTCGGGAATTGGTATGAAAAAACTAGTTTGAAAATCGGAAATTTTCCGATCGTAATCGGTGGAATTCGGAAAATTACAATTGTTAAGTTACCTAAAAATTACAAAATACATGATAATATGGATATTATAAGTGAAATTTTCCAAAAAAATCGGTATTTTCGGAATTATTTTCGAAAATTGAATCGGATCAGAAATCGGAATCTCATGTTTATTCCAATCCCAGTCCAAAAAAAAATCGGAAATAGGAATTTCAGAAATCAAAATGAAAAATATTCATCCAAATCGATTTATTTTTCGGTAAAAGCACTACATAGATTCGACTATATTAAAGAGAGGCGGAAGTTAATTACCTGTAATCCTTTGTCGAGGATCAAAAGTGAGCATCTTCTCAATGAGATCAATGGCAAGAGGGTGCACCTGAGGAAACTTGTCAGTGAATGATTGGCGGCGATAAGTAGGGAGCTGCCGTATGTATCTTTTTGCATTATCATTCAGAAGCCCCAACTCAGCCTCGGAAGGGGTCCCAATCAGCTGCATAAGAAATAATCTCGTAATTACTAACGGTTAAGCATAGAGTACAACAACAATGTATGTTTAGTAGAAACCATGTTCTGATAATGTTGGAAAGTTAATCGTAATCTTGGATAACATGCGGTGAATTACTATTTAATACACACGCTACATCGAAAACACACACTAAAAAAATGCACACACTACACCGAAAACACACACTAAAAAGAATTACACACACTAAACCGAAAAACACACTAAAAAGAATTACACACACTACACCGAAAACATAATCTAAAAAATACACATACACTGCACCAAAAACACACACTAAAACATATACATACACTACACCGAAAACACACACTGGAAAAAAATACACACACTACACCGAAAACACACTAAAAAAATACACACACTACACCGAAAACACACACTAAAAAATAGACACACTACATGTGGTGAATTACTATGCCGTAGTATTGACTATTTTATTAGAAACTTCAGCATTTATGACAAAAAGATATTGGCTCGATAAAACTCTCGTTGTCCTAGATTATTACAAACAAATATTGAACAAATTTCTTTCAGTAAAACACCAATTATATCTCTTTAACATGTCCAGATTGATCTATTCAGTGAAGTTCAAAATAAATTTGTATATTTCAATCAAAAGCTATCAAAATCGTCGAGTGTGAAAACATATCAGGGCAGTAAAGATAATAAAAAATAAAAATTTTAACAACAAACAAATACTTAATTCCTCAAGTATCATTATAACCTTATTTGAGATTCTTTTTAGAGAATTTTTTTTTTTAAATAGGGGGATACCTCAATCAGAAGGCGTAACTGGTGCACGTGATCTCTACCAGCAAACAGTGGCTTTCGGTCCATCAGTTCCATGAAAATGCAGCCGACTGACCAAACATCAATAGCTGCAGTGTAATCAGATGAATTCAACAGCAGCTCAGGCGCACGATACCACCTCGTAACAACATATTCAGTCATAAAGTCGGTTTCCGAATTGACACGTGCCAATCCAAAATCACATATCTTTAGGTCACAGTTTGCATTCAGGAGAAGATTGCTAGGTTTTAAGTCCCTGTGAAGAACATTTGCCGAGTGTATATACTTCAGCCCACGGAGAATCTGGTACAAGAAATACTGCGCAAACACAGGGGAATAGCTATTATTACCAAAAAAATATTCAGTACATTAAATTCAAACATGACTATTGTTATGTGCACCCCGGTTAGATATTATTGCTCTCGACTCCGTAACGTTAACTACAAATGGATTTAGCTAAAATTCAGTATGAAATGAAAACTTAAGTAGTTTAAAAAAAAGGAGGCACGTGATTTCCTGTCACTTCAATATGAACCAGAATACAAAACATTCAATATTCTGTAGACAAAAAAAAAAACAACGAAACATATCTCATGGACAAAAGGTTTTCAAAAGTAGAATTTGAAATAGAACCTGGCAGTGCTCCTCAGACAAAGCTTGATTAGAACGGATGATTTGGTGAAGATCAGTGTCCATAAGTTCGTATGCAATGTAAACATCATTAAATGCATCCCTCTGAGGCGGAGGAATTATATCTCTGATTGCAACAACCTGTCACGAATAAATTTCACAATTAATAAATGTTTATTGGCTGCATTTAGTCAGTTCTGATTGTAAGAACTAACAAGAATGCACCAGAAATGAAATTACACGACGAAACTGTGAATGCTAAAACGAGTTTTCTTTCGGTAAACTTTTATTCTGGTTCTATATTCATGAATGAAACTTCAGAACCGACGCAAATTCTAGTATTTTATATCACTCAAAGGATCTAAGTTTTTACTTAAATGCTAAACTAACGACGAATACCACGTGTCATGTGATCACGACTTAAAACGGCATTTAATTCAACAGACCATAAACTAAACCATTTAATTAGCCGTTTAACTTGTTCGGTAAAATGATCATTTTCCTATAATCAGATATCCACGAACTTTTAATCGAGCAAACTCATATAATTCAATCCGAATCTCATTTCCAACTAATAAATCACATTCACGTATCATATGCTCGCATAAATAGGCATTTTCATATACAAGTGTCCGTGATATCTAACAGGCTTCTTTCCGTTTTCTAGACGAAAAACATTGGATATCTTCTCCAAACTCGAAAAACAGAAACCAGGATTTTGACAATCTAGAACGTGGCGAGAAAATCGGGCAAAAAAATAAACGAAAACAAAGTAGAAAGAAACCAGATTCCAATAAATTACACCTAACTTAAAAGCATACACACATACAAGAGAACAACCTAAAATCTCAAACATGTCTATTTTTGTCCAAACAACACCATAGCTTCTTTAGTTCAGTGATTTATTTTTGCCGATTTCAGAAGACAAATAAAATCTCATGAAAAAATACCACAAATTCAAAAATCAATTATTCTCGAGAAAATTAAATACTTAAATACATAGTTAGAATATATGTACTGACGTTTTCATGATCCATGTGGCGCAGAAGCTTGATCTCACGCAGAGTCCTCTTCGCATCAATTTTGTTATCAAAAGCATTCGCAATTTTCTTCAGCGCTACATGCTCATTCGTCTCCGAATTCAAAGCAGAGCTATTCAAAAAAATTTAAAAAATTCAGAAAATTAAATAATTTTTTTTATTTATAATAAATATCGGAAGGAGGACGAAGTTAGAGGTGAGAATCTCGGTACCAAACGATTCCGTATGCGCCTTTTCCGATGGGCATGATTGGGGGTTTGTATTTAGAAGTGACCTCGAATATGTTGCCGAAGATATTGTATTGGATGAATCTGCCTCCGTGGCTGAGCGTCGCCGGTATGTGGTCGATCGGAGGCTGCGGCGGTGGCGGCGGCGGTGCTGCTTCCGACATCATGGTGTCCACCGGCTGAGCCCCACCCTCCATTTTTTTCTGTGCGTCTGTTACTTAAAAAATAATAAAAAGAAGAAAAAGAAAAAGTAAAAGACGAACTGTGTTGTGTTGCGACTGCTCTCTCTCTCTCTCTCCTCTCTTTCTCTCTCTAGATTTGTTATTTATATGTCCGATTATTTTCAGCGATATCTTTTTTCTCTATCCGGCTGGCTGCTTTTTTGTATTTTGCTGGGCCCACATATATTTATTATTTTTATGGTATTAAATTTTCTAGTAATTAAGCTCAGGCCACAGTGTACAAATAATAACAAATACATTTTTATTTTATTTTTTAATTAAGCAAGTATTTTTCAATTCATTATTTAATTCAAAATCAATTATTAGAAATTTATTTTATAGCTCGTATTGTTACTAGAATGAAGTAAATTTGAACACTCAATTCCGTTCGATAGTAAATGAAGCTCGACTTCGATACAAAATCGATTAATTAAAAGTACAAGTAAGTTATTTAAAAAATTAAGCTAGTCGAGTTTGATTCTTTTGCTTCCCCCCAATTCCAAATTGAGTTAACGTTAAATATTTTATTTATTTATTTTTATTTTTTTAGTGGATTAATGGGTTGTAAGCATTACTTACACTTGTTAACATTCCCAATTAATTTAATTACCATTTATACTAAGAAAATCCAGAAAGGGATATTGTGCTGCAAATAAATCTTATTTATTACATTAAATAATGACTAGTGACTAATCCAAATTCCAAACGACTCATTTTCAAAGTACACCACCTGATTACGTAATTTAAAATTAGGTAACGTCATAAGGGGCAAGTAAGTAATTTATATGATGTCAGTGAAATATTAATGAAAGATTACTACAATTATGTTGGTTTATTTGTGAGATCAAGATTAAATTGTATTAAATATTAATATTATTCAAACTGAAATTTGAAGCTGGTCAATGTTATTATCTATCAATATTGTGTGGATATGTAAATGAAATTGTATGAATAATGAAGCAACTTTACCTATATTTTGAAGACGTTACTATATAAAACTATAGAGTATTTGATTAACGGAAATAAAATTATTAATATATGGTGAACACTATTTTTTGGTAAGTTTTACTTTATATAAATTCAGAGAATTGTTGTTACTTCCCATAAGTTGCACTATATTCAATATATTTTTTTATATAATATAAGTTATATAACTACATCATGGATTAGGGGTGAATATTTCGATTTTGAAACAATATTTTTAAATCCGAATTCTGAAATTCCAAGTCTCGATTTTTCTAAAATTATTTGGATCGGAATTGGAATTGTACACGATTCCGATTTCCGATCCGATTTTATATTCCTTAAATAATTCCAATTTTCTTATCGAATATTACACTTAAAATACCAATATTATTATGTATTTTAAATTTTAGGAGACCGAAAATTAGAACTCTCCCAATTCGGCAATTACGATCCAAGATTTTCCGATTTGGAACAATTATTTTCATTCCACCTTTCGAAATTCCGATTATTTAAGAAAAAAAGAGAAAAAAATAAATAAAGATTGGTGTGGGCTTTTTTCTATATTTCAGTAGCAGGCTTTAATAAGTCAAAATAACTGGGCTTGTTTGCAATTGATTACTAATTAACGGGCCATATTTAGATTAAAATAAAGTTATACAAAGCTTAGTGGTTAATGGGTTTGTTTGCAATTAATCCTACTTATTATGTGATTAATTTGAATTAAGTCTGGCTTTAGGTCCAGGGAAATATATTTTTCAAGGCCCAATTCGAAATCCAAATACTGTATATATAATTTCACGGCCTTCCAAATAATTTTTATTTTTTTCTTTATTTTTTTTATGGGAGTCCAAACTACACACATTAGTATATTAGCTTCACTTATTTTTTTTTCTATTTTCGTAATTAGTTGTATCTGGAGCCCGAATTAGGGGTGTAAATAAACCGAGTTCATCAGATTTTTCGAGTTCTAACTCTAGCTCGAGTTCGAGTCAAATTTGGCGAGCTCGAGCTCAAACTCATCGAGCTTAGGAGTTCGAACTCGAGCTCAACTCATTTAATTTATTAAATGATTTTTAGTGATCGGCCACAAAAATTACATGATAAAACTTATGATTTGTCCTATCAATTTCTAAATAAACCACTAATTATTATTATTATTTTTTAAAAAGACCTTTTCATATCTATCTATTACTCCCTCTGTTCCACAATAACTGTCTGTTTTTTAAATTATTTTTGTTCCATATTATCTGTCACTTTATATTTTCAACACTGCATTAATTGTGTAATTATCAAATTTACCCTTGTTAACTATATCCAACACTCTCTCACATTAATTATTGGCAAGGGCATTTTAGTATAAGAACATATTTTTTTTTTTAAATTAAACAATATTTATTGAGATCCTTAATCCGTGTGCACAAACTAACAACGACAATTATAAAGGAACTGAGGGAGTAAATATAATTTGCATATATTAAATTTGTTGAAGTGTTCCACGGAACAACTCAAAACTTGTTTCGATTTCCAATAACTCGTAGAATTAACTTAAAAATAAATATTTAATTTTTTTTTGAGATAAAATAAATATTTAATTTACTTATATACTTTTCATCATTGATTTCGATAAAATGATAAGCACTATGCAATTTGCAAAGTCAATTAATTAAAAAATAAATGTGCAACTGGGATTTATCTTATATGACATATTAGTATTTAATTACCCACTGTTTTTGAAGAGAGAGAAAAAAGCGCGCAATACAGCTCGGTTTAATTGTTTTACTTAAGACAAAAAAGCCAAACTATTTTATTTTTAATTATTAAAAAAACCCAAGGTTTGAGGAGGCATATATTATTTATATATACCAATTGGTTTGGAAAACAAATATAATAAAAAGCTCAGTACTTAAATTCAATGAAACAGCTACCAACCAACATCTTATTGTGCAAGTTTAATAATATTGATTAACTTAATTATAAATATTATCAAGTTGCTTAATTAGGGGTGAATGGTGATGTATACAAAATATCACAAATTAAAAAAATAGATTAGAAAATACAGTGAACACCTTTCAATACACTTTAAAAATTAATTCTGAAAATATAACTAATCAGTTCTTATAAAAACTTATCGAACGTAAGAGCTTATCAGCTATTTAAAATAAATTTAGTCAAAATGGGCTATAAATTTGAATATTGATGAAATCATTTAAGTGTTGTTTAAGACAATGCACATTAATTAAGAAAGTTATTAAACAATCTTTACTTGTAAAAAGTAAAAACAAATCTTTATTTGACCAAGCCGCTTTTTATATTTTCATTTTCGTTTTCAAATTATATTAATTTATCATTAATGTTGAGATAAAGTCGGAAAATAATATTTAAATTATTAATTGAAAATCTAAAGTGACACTTAATATTAAAAAGAAAATCTAAAGAACAACGACACTTAAAAAGAAATAGATTGAGTAATATACATAACCAAGTCTAATTTTTTTTTTGTGTGCGACTTTTATTAAATTGTTATAAATATTATCAATCGACTAAATTCATAAAAAAGAATCACAAATTAAAAATGAATTGTACGGCTTTCAATGCATCTTGAAGTTTGATTATTGGTGGAATCTTTATTAATAACCAAGTCTAATTTTTATTCGGACTTTTTATTTAATTGTTATAATTTTATAAATAATATCAATCAGCTTTATTAGGGGTGATGTATGTAAAATAAAATAAAATTCACAAATTAAAAAAATTATATGTGAAAACGAAGTGTACGGCTTTCAATGCATTTTGGACCACGATTATATCGATTACATCATTAATAAAATTAATTAAGTCTAATTTTTCTTGGGACTTTTATTTAATTGTTACAAATATTATCAACTAGCTTAATTAGAAATCAAGTGTACGGCTTCCAATGCAATCTTTGGACCACGTAGTTTAATTGAATACTAATAAATAACTAAGTCTAATTTTTATTTGGATTTTTATTTAATTGTTCCTTGTTCTCATAAGTTTAGGCAATTGTGATTAATCCATATGCCAACTTGATTAATTTTTAAAATAAAGTAACTTGACAATGTTTTGGTGAAGTAGACGTTACATTTGACCTGCAACGGGTGGTTGAATTGGTGAAGTAAGAGAACGCGGTGTTATTTAGACCCAAATTTGGATCTGTAAACGATGAATATTACGATTACTGTTAAACATCTATAAATTAATATAGTCCAAGCAAGTAAGATTCTATTAATTTATCGAAGTATTAATTTGATGAAATAATAATTTTGCACATTGTGATTGAATCGGGACCGAAAGAAACTATTATTTAGTGTGATTACTAATAAATTTATCAAGATTATTGATCGGGTGTAACATGATGCATGTTGCTTACTCGCTCCGTCCCATTATATATGTCATTTATTGTTGTTGCACACATATTAAGAAATCAATAAATGCGCATATATTATAGAAAAAAAACATAAGAAATCACTAATATCCTTGTGACTAATTGTTTTTCAACTAATTAATTAAGAGTGATAAACGGTAAAATTGAAAATAGTGCAATTAATTTTTTTTGTTTATTGTAAAGTGACAAATAATATGAGACAAAAAAATTCTTCAAAGACTCAAACAATATATGAAAGAGGGAGTAATATTTGCAAAGTCGAAGTAACTATCTCCAAATTAGTTGTGCCGAATTTTTTTTGTTCTATATTATCTACAATTTAATACTTTAATAATGCATTAATTTTTAACCATATTATATACATTTTTTTTCAAAAAAACCACACATATTTATTAATTTTCTAATTACGCGTGTACCGATTAGGGCTGGACATTTGGGATCGGGATTTGGGT